GATCCTCCTGCCTCAGCCTCCTCAGTGTAGGGATTACAGGTGTGCGCCACCACGCCTGGCTGAGGTGTACACTGCTACAGAAGGCATGGAACCAATTCTGTCAAGGTGGCCAAATCTTAATCTGAAATAATAATGTTTAGCCGAGGATGGTGGTACACACCTGTAATCCCAGCCAGCTCTGGAGTGGCTGAGGCAGGACGATTGCTTCGAGTTCGAGACCAGCTTGAGCTGCAAAGCCAGACCTCAAAAAGCAAAGAAAACATACAATGAAACAGAAGGCAAGTGAACACCATACAAGATTTCTTTAATTGATTCCCAATCGTCTTGAAAGTTGGTTTCCTTCACAGATCTCTCGTGGGCTCTTCCCAAGGAAACTCTGTGGCGCTCTCCCAGAGCGTTGCAGGCACTGAACACACAGGAGGCGCTCAGTAACTACGCGGGGTCGGGCGGTTAAAGGAGCGGGGCAGGAATGTGTGCACCTGAAGAATTGCTGGCGTGACCCGCGCGCTAACCCCCGCAGGCTCGGGGTGGGGCAGCCCAGCAGCCTCCCTCTCCCCGCGCCTGCGCCTGTCCTGAGCGGCACCCGCTCCCCTAACACTTTTTTAATCCCCGGCACCAAAACACCTTTTCCTCCGGACCTGCCCCCGGGGTCTGTTCCTGCGGCCGTCCAGAAAGCCCTCCGCAGCTGCGGTCCCACCTTGATCCCCGCTACTAGCGAGGGAGTGGGGGGCGCTCGGGTGCTCTGAGCCAGCAGCTGGAGACCCCTCCAGGTAACAATGTCTCAGAAACCAAGCCAACGGAAAGCCCCACAAGGCCAAGTCTCCTCTAATCTTGCTCTAGATTTATGCTAAAAACGCAGTCACCATCAGGGGGACGGCAGAAAATAAAGGCGTTTACATGAACAGGACTTTTGGAAAGCGGTGCGTCCACAGCGAGTTAGGCGGAGGGCACTGCGCTACTGGGTGGCTATGCTTGCTGAGGCGGTTTTAATCTCTCCGTGAAATCATGTGGAAAGGTTGAAAGTGTTTTTCGGTTTCTGATGCTTGCAATAAGGTGACTGTACACTTAAGAATGTACCCCGGGAAGGACGGGCGTGGCGGCGCACGCCGGTAACCCCAGCACCCGGGAGGCTGAGGCGGGAGGCTCGCCACGCGCTCCAGCCAGGGCTACACAGTGAGTTCAAGGCCAGCCTGTTTACTTAGAGCCTGGCTCAACGAGCAAAAATCGGACAAACATCGCGGCCCGGGAGCACACGGCCCGGGCACGTCTGCACGTCCCGAGGCCCGCGCTGGAAGCAGGGCGCGGCGCTGAGCGCGGCAGGGCCGGGTGC